AGGAGAGACTATTGTTTCAAGGTATGAGCCTTGAAAAAGTGGCTTTAAAACATAGACAATGGTTTTAAATATTTTCCAAATTTGGCAAGGATTAGTGCTTTAGGATTCATGTTTCAGTACTCATTAGTTCTTGCCTTCCTTTATATATATATAGATTTTAAAAACAAATTCGTCTTAATACTATAAGAAAGAAACCTCTAAGGGTAGCAAAGTTCTAGAGGTAATATTTAGCACATAATTATTGAGCCTTTGATTAGCATGAACTGCATGTATATATGTGTGTATATATATATTGTGTGTCTAGCACTTTTAGGTCTTAAAATAATGTTGGTGTTAGACTTCTTAGAGTAACTCATAATTCACATCCGGATACTATTCCAAGCACTGTACAGTCCCTCTATCCTATGTGTGCACCGGGAAGTTATCAATATGTGAGGTGAGAATTTTTACCAGAATAAATTTATAGGATAGCTCCAAAGAGATTAGAACACACAACCTTTAATATGTAAAATGCCATTTGGGGTTGCCAAATCTATATTTTGAGAGAAATTACAATGTCAAAATGCTATATTTTAGCAATTCTCAGCCTTCATTGAACCAAGCCCGACCCACTTCTAGTTTCCCCAATCTTACCGTTGATTTCGAAATTACCTTCCCATCTTAACCATTCATTGCATTCCGTCCCACATAATCTTTTTAGGGCAAATCATTTCAGCCTCCCTAATCACCTCCATCTTTATTCTCGTTCTCAACTCTGAACTTGCCCTCTCTCTCTCTCTGTAACTGCAAACTACAAAATCTACAAGAATCAGAAGTGCAAAACCCATATATTTCAGTTTATCTATCTGTTTGCAAGAATCAAAAGTTCAAAACCCATATCGGCATATCATTTCAGATTGTTCAAAAAATCAAAACCCATATCTTTTAGTTTCAATTGCCTGCTGTTCCAGTTCGGGTTCGCCGTTCGCAAGCTTCAGCCGCTGTCTCTCAACTCTCAAGCTTGCCCCCCTCTCTCTTTGCAACTGTTAACTTGTATGTATGGGTTTTTAATTTTGAGGTAATCACCGTAATCTACATTTTATTTCTTAGAAGGAAAAGGGGTGGCCGGAGATTTGCGAGGATGAACTCGGCCTCGGCTGAGAGGGAGAGAGAGACGACAGCAAACAAAGATAGAAAGCAACGGGACAGAAATAGAAGGCAATTAAAAGACATGCCAAAAAAAAAACGGCGTCGTTTTGGGCAATTAAAGACTTGCCAAAAATAATTGGCAGCTCCTAAATCTGAGAGCAGATTTGAGATTCTCAATTTTTGAGAGTTCAAATGAGAGTCCATTGGAGAGCCTACTTTTTGCACACCTCTCAAATTTTGGGTTTGAGAGCCCAAATGAAAGAGTATTGGAATTGCTCTAAGATAAGAGTCTTTGTCATTACTCTATTTATTTGGAGTTCATAGACATGAGTTTATTAATCATATATATATATATATATATATATATATATATTGACATATCATGTGTAGTAGTGATATGATATGCATAACATGTAGTAGTTTTGATCGTTTATGCATATTAGTAGCTTATAAATTAGAATGGTCAAAGGGCATCCAAGAGAATGTTGTATTGGGTTATGATAGAAATGAGATAGGACATGAGTGACCATGCATGTTTTTTTGGAGAACATAATATGTATATAAAAATGCAAAGAGAAGCTAGACCCCAGCAATATCCACTTTCCATCCCCCCTTTGACCACCACCAATTTAGGCAACCTCGCCATCATGAGATGGCCACAACAACTTAATTTGAGTGGAAATGAGATGTGCAGCATCTCTCTCTCTCTCTCTCTCTCTCTCAACCAACTCATTTTGGAGCCCTTCTTTCATTTGAACCAGAAACTAGCTAACCCTAGCTAGGGAGACCAAAACATGAGTTGGTTGTCATAGGTGCCATTAATTAGCTAGCCCAAAAAGACCCCACTAAATCAAATGCCTTTAGATCATGTTTGTGGCAATTCCAAGAGAGCCTCTAAAATGATCCTAGTGCCAGTATGACTAATAATTAGCGTCTACTTCCATCAGTATATGTAAAAGAAGCCATTATATAGTGTGAGAAATTTGTGCACTGCCTCAACACGTGATCAATCCAAATAAAAATCTTGTTTTGAAAGCTGTCTCCAACTTTCAAAAGCCATATCTTCCAACCCCTAGCTTTTGCACCAATGAACTCATCACTTGGATTTTATACAAGATTCTTAGCATAATACAGTAGCTTTCTGTTAGCCTCTTTTACCTTGTTCTTCTGTTTAATATGATGATCACCAAGGGTCTGCATCTACTTATATCTTAATTAGTTAATTTAAGTACAAGGATTATACATGAGATATCATAATAGAAGAGAGTACAAATTACTAATCGAGTCCTCTTAAAATTTATTCTTCTTGCACTCATATATGGATTCAACTTTTGAACAAGGTTAATTAGACTAATGAACAGGAAAGATGGGTTCACCAAATTTCTTATCATAGAGCATGCAAAAGTCCACTTAATTAGATATTTATCTGAGTTTGAACATCAAGTCAATTCTAACCAAAGTTGCATAAGTTTTTATGTACTACTTATTATAATTGCAACTAAATCCATCAACTAAGAACTGTCCCCATAAATTTAGTCAATGGAGCAGCACCATTAAAATTTGCATAACCAATGACTAATTAAGCAGGTGCAAAACTTTGCAAGGTAGTTGATGAATCTTTATGGAGGTCAAAATAAATCACTAAGAGCCACTTGGTTTATTTCACATCCATTATAGCATCACATTTATTTTGATGTGTAGATATTTTTGGTAAAATTTAAAGTATAAAATAGTGACCTTTAACAAAACAGGGACGTGGCATTTTTTGATTGGCAAACCATGTAAATACCCTACTAATACTAAATAAAAATAGTCCTAATTATATGGTGGTGGTATGCACAATAAGACAAATAGAGGCTACCCTAATATGTCTGTGATGGTCACTTGATTCCACATGACATGACAATACAATGAGTGCATGTAAAAGGATATGATGTAGACTAATGATCTGACCTTTCCTTGTCAGCAATTCATCGCCCCATACACCAGCAATTGTACTATCAATGCAAGTATAAAAACGGTCCCCATGACCTAAACAATCAATCAACTCGAAACGTGTATCATCTATATATATATATCTGTATATGTGTATACACTATACATATATGTGTGTATATATATATGAAGATGAACAGTACATACTTACATGGCATTGTACTGTACTGAGGTTTGGTAGTGTAAGATTGCAGTTGTATGTATATACAGGAGGGGCACTGACTCCAATGTGGAGTTTTATAAACCAAACAACCTGACACAGTCTAACCTCTTCTGACCCTTCATTGAAGAAAAAACAATGATCCACACGTCTCTTCTTCCCACTCTGCTCTCATTCCTTTTGCCTCTTTTTTCCCCCATTTAATCTAAATAATCAAATTTCTCTCTCAGGTCTGACTAAAAAAATTCTGCTGTGACTACAGTTGGTACAGTCTAGTAGACTTTGGGTTAAAGGATTGGTAGTGGGTCGGCCCATATTGAAGTCCAAGCCCTACCATTATTGTGTCCAGATGCTTTTATTTATTTTCAGAAGCCCAAATCTAGCTTGCACGTGGGTGGTTTGGTGGGCCTCAAATCAATAATTGTAACTAGACTTTGTGGCTGGCTTCAAAAGTCAACCTTCCCATACTTCGGCCAAAAACTGAAAAGATTTTCCTTGCATTTGGAGATCATCATGCGGAGAAATTGTATAATGCTCCAAGGATATTTTGCACTCACTTGATACACGATTATATATATATATTTTTAAATTATATATTTTTCGTGTATCAAGACAAATTAAAAGTCATCACAACTATATGTTAGGCGGATACCACACGTATATTTTGTGGATGGAGTGGTGTTGACTTTTCTATTCATTTGGATGCATTTGCGCGAACTCCATAAAACTACCCGAGGTATCATGAATATAGTCCTCCACCCGAGGAGAAATTCTAATTTCCTAATGAGTGAGATTTTGTCTACTTTGTGTTTGAAATTGTTGGGTAATAGTCCTTATTTTCCAAGATGAGATCAAAATTTAGGTGATCAACCTTTTAAATGGCTGGTGTGAGTGAAAGAATGAGAAAAAGAAAGGGTCACATGGGGACATAGATTGATTATAGAAAAAAGGTCACATGGGGACTTAAATTGATCTTCAAAATTAAGGGAAAGAAGTAAACCTTAAAAACCAGAAAGAAGAGAAGAAGCCAAGAGTTGGAAGCAGTGGTGCAAATGGAGGGCCACATGCCAAGTGATATAATGGCAGTAGGGTTGGGCAGAGTGGGTCAATGCCGACAAGAGTATGGTTGTATTGTCATGTCAATTGCTTCTCTCTCTCTCTCTCTCTCTCTCTCTCTCTTTTTGACCTTTTGGACTTATTCTCTTCAGCTTCCTCATTCATGTTGCTTTTATTTTACCACTACCGCATTTCTCCTCCATTTCCATGTATGCATATGCTTTATGGTTGTGTCCATTAAACCCTCAGTAATGAAAATCTCATCAGCTTGATTTGTCCTTTTTTTAATTTTAAGTTAGCCAAATAACAATTGGGACAAGTCCTATTTTTAACCCATCAATAAGTCCAACCACCATATTTGGCTTAACCTGAAACCTTATTAATGTTGTTAGGCATATTGAATGAACTATTCTTAAACATGGCTTTTAACTAATAGCTCAGGGGTCAGCTAATGATTTAATAAGTATATATACTAGGTACCGGATGTAAGAAGCGAGTATATATTTACCGTGGTAAATTAAGTTTTAAACCCAGTGGAATATACAGGGCAACCCTGCAGTGTGTGACAACTGTCTAACTCTTAATAGCTGTTGTTATCCCACATCGGTAAAGTACTCAAAGAAGAAATGGTATTTATGACGTAGCATCAGTTTTAGCTGGCACGACCTTACTTGAACAGGATCTGTCCTACGGGCTAGTAGTACCCTTGTATTCTTGAGATCTATGGAGGCAAGAACCTAAGTCTGGTGGATGAACCATGACCGCGTGATTAGCGGCTCTCTGGTCCATGTGACCTCTAGGGCTGTGGAGGATAGTTCCAAGCTCTGGGCTTTGTCCTCTGTCCTCTGCCCTTACGGTCTGGTGGACGACCATGACCGCGTGATTAGCGGCTCGCTGGTCCATGTGAGCTCCAGGGCTGTGCAGGATAGTTCCAAGCTCTGGGCTTTGTCCTCTGCCCTTACGGAATCAGAGCAGTATTGTAGTTGCTTTGCTTCATGATTTCATCCACATTTGCATATTTTGTTTCAACATTTTTTTTTTTTTTTGGAATTTTGAGCAACTGATATATTTTGCTTCAACGTGAGAACAAAGGAGTAATATGAGACAACAGTAACTGAGAAAGAAGAACAAATTCAACTCCATTCCGAGAAGGTGATAAAATTTTATCACCACAATACATATCCTTAAATCTCTCACCTTCGGTGGCCTCTTTAAAGCACCCATTCCAAATGAACCTGGCATCATAGGACTACAGGTCATATTGTTTGTACAAGGGACTTCTCTGAACAATTGAGCCAATGTCATCAAATACCCAGACTCCGCATAAGAATCGAACAAAAGAAGTTACGAAAGTATTTTCACTAAGTGCACTTTGTGTAGCAAGACAATGCATCTGTTTTACCTTGAAAAAGATTTCCACTCACTGCAATCACAGAAATGAGTAAGATTAGTGCCTCAAATCAACTGAAAAAGGAGTTAAATTTCATAAATGTATCAATCAGAAACATTTTTTATTACATGACCATGAAGTAAAAGAACACAACTGAAACATGATCTGGAACAATTAAAAGCACCAACATAACTCCTCAACAAGTACTACCAAGAATTATCCTTTGCCCAAAGAAACCAAATCTTCTGTAGGCATTCATCGTTTCCCATAGACCACAATAATTGTTTTGCAAAAATACATTGAGTCAATAGTCCATTTGAAATGCTAAACAAATGATCACTGCTCCTAAATGAAGACCATTTTGATGCATACAAAAGCTAAAACTATCATGCGCAATACAGTTCTCGTATCCAACAATAAACACAAAATACCCAATCAACATTCGAGTGATGATCGAATCTGAATCGGTTCTTTAACGGCTTCATATACATAGACAGTCATGTGAAGGTCAGTGTAGGATATTAACTTTGAAGAAACTGGAAAGTGTTTATACCCAATTGAAACAATGAATGAAGCATGGATTTGTTCTAAAGTTGAAGGTCCCAACAGGAATGTAATAGAGACGGAAGAGAGAAAACAAGAAACAATGAATATACCAAAGAAAATATAACGATTATTGATGGCAAAGTAGAGAGTTTGTGAGCCAGTAACCTTTTCATGCAGTGAGGATGAGTTGTGAGTGTTTTTTAGTCACATTCCGAGAGGATGAATTGTGAGAGTTTTTGAAGTTATGGTCTCTGAGCACTGTTTAGGATCTTAAGGAACTTTTGTAACTCAAACAAGGGGCCGGTTTGCTAGTTGAAATTAGGCGTGGCAACAGGTTACAGTTTGCTGGTTCAGTGGTTGACAAGCGAGTTTAGTGACAAATAATAATAATAAATAAATAAATAAAATAAATCTCAGATTTCTAGCACAATTACCAAGGGAGTTAGAGCAAGAACCAGCACAAAGAGAAAACTTAGTCTTCTTTTAATATTAATCAACACACAAAGAAAGAACGCATTACCAAGGATCAAGTAAACTTACTACAATCCATATCTTTATATATTAATAAATACTGCACTTTGCAGATGAATCAGCTGATGTAACAAGCACTCCAACTTTCAGAATCTTCAAGAAATGAAAAAGAAAATCCCAACCCTAAACGCAGATCAAGTAACATCCAATATGGCTATATTAATAAAAGATCGGTAAAATTCAAATATCCGTATAATTAACTTCATTTTCAGTATTACAATCAAAACAAGCAAACAAAATATTAGCATTTCAACAACAATCAGGTGATTTAGTACACATCATATCCAGAATGATGAAGAAGAAATTGGCAGTCATCAAAAGTACCCTCACCTAAAGTAAGGCTTTGTTGACAGGGAAAAAACGACGCTAATAACAGCAGAGCATCAAGATTTAAAAGGAGGGTTGAAAGCCCTCTCAAATCAAATTTGTATTTGAGACTGCTACAAACAGAGCCACTGTGATCCAATTGCACCTGAACACCAAATGTTCCGCAGATTCTGTATATTTGCAAATAGTGTATAGAACATTAACGCTTTTGTAGATTACCTGTGGTGGGAATGTCTGAGCAAGCATGAGAGACAAATTCTGTTTTCGAGGAGGATGTAGGGGCAAAATACAATGCAGTACCTCTGCTAGGAAAGAACTCAATCTTCCAAAAATGAGCTGTACAGCCTTGACAGAACAATTTCCGGATGCCTTGTTGTGCCATGCCAACCTGTCCCTCTGCTGCTACTACTGGAACTGCAGAAATGGCCTTCAGTTTGTTCTCCATCACAAGAATTGTAAACATATCAACCTTCCATTCCACCACATTCATCCACAGCTCCAAGGGTTCAGAAAAATAGAACAGAACATCCATCATATTATATCTTCACTGATCACACCACCACAAAAGACCACCCCTACCCCCACACCCACTCAGAGCACATGCACGCAACTACTGGCTTTAGGTTTATCAATTCCTGGTTAGATTCTCAATGTTATCACTCTTAATAACTTTTGAATGAGAATTCATTATTCATATAATAGGGTACTTGCTCAACTCCATTCAACTAGTATGGCATGCTCAAATTGTTTGTTACCTGTGAAGGCCTCCGCCACTGTTAGTAAACTTACCTAACAAAAAGATTATACAAATAAATTACCCAGTGTCATTTTCTTTCTGTATGTCCCAAGGGAATTTGGCCTTAAACCTCCTCCTTTGGTGTGGTAAGTGATACAACTAAAGCTATCCGCTGGAGGTCAATTTCCCAGTTTCATTTGAGTAAAAAAAAGTTATACAACAATTGATTTACCTCAGCTTCAAATAATCAGCAACCTTTTGAATCTCAGTCTCAGGAGAACAATAGGCACCATTTAGTCCACATCCATAAATGAAGTGCAATCAATGTCTTGAAGAGTAAGGGTACCCATGTACAAATCACTTATATGATCGGCACATAGAGGGAGACACTTCCTATTCAAACTTTCATGAATTACACCCATCCCTAAAACCCACCTCTTTTCATCCAAAGGGTCCACATTCAAGTGGCTTTGTAGTAACCGGATCCTATAAACAATAGTATCTGTTTTGTTACAGAAATGAGCAACGCATCGGTAAGCAGGCTCGTTAGTTGCCAATCTGATCAAAGCCGTAGTCAAGGCACCATCCACAGGTTTCGGATCCGAAAGATTACTGTCTCCCATCATCTTGATCTCTTTTTCCGTGGGGAAGTATACTTCTTCGGCTCCATTCATAGCAGAAACTTTCAGATCCTTACTGTAATGCCTAATTGCTTCCCGTTTAGTAGACTCATGCTTTTCAGCTAAGGTCAAGAGACAAGAGAACCTCAAGTGATATGTTACAACAGTTTTCACTGATTTGAAGTTGTGGCAGCAGCAGAAGAAATCAAGCCATCTTCTCCCTACACCTGCATACCACTTGATAATATCAGTATCTTCAAGAGCCATGAGTGAGTTGATCGGCCTAGGACGACCCATATGATTTGTAAATCCAGCCATCTTAACTGCCTTCCTAACAAGTTCTATGGGAGCATCAACTTTCATGCACAGCTTTGTCAGATCCTCAACCGTTCTTTCAGCATATCGTCGTTCCTCTTCTTCTTCAATTCTCCTCTCTTCTTCCGCCAATTCCTTTCTAGCTTTCACTGGCTTCAAATGCTTGTCAACTTGCTCTTGAAAGTTATCATAAGCATCCACGAGCTCTTGGGGCAGTTGATCTCTAATCCTTCTCAAAGAGAGAAAATCACCTGCAGAAAGGTGTCGATGCCAGTTCCAACACTCTTCTAGAGAACCAAGAAACTCTTGGACTGCTTCATCAGCCCAAGTTCTAAAAATTTCTCTAACCTCTTTCTCAATCTGGAGGTCAAATTTGAACCCATCACCCCGTTTCAACTTTTTGAAAACATTACTCATTACCTTCATCCCCAGCTTCTTCCTATTAGTTTCCCTAGCATTTCGCAGTTCTATAGCTCTAACTTCTTTCTGTCTGAGGTATTTTTTTCTTGCCCTAATTGCTTTCTGCGACATAGGCGGATGCAGAACTGAAGGTGTAACAGCCCGGAGTTCCATCCCTAAAAAATCAATCTTCTCTGAAACTGCACTGTGAATAGCTGTTCTCACTCTATCTACCTTCAACTCCAAATCTGTTACCAAAATTTTCAAAACCCGTTTCTTCAAATCCATGGTCAACATTTTCGAGCCAGATGTGATCACTAGTATCTCATCGAAGTAACGGACTGCATACATCTTCAAGGGCTTATAAAAGGCATTGCCCGATGATGAAACAATCTCACTAGAATCGAATTTGGGATTTTCTCGATTCATTTGAAGACGTAATTCTTGAATTTCTTTATCAAACCTATTTAAGTAAATATTAATCAAAATTGAGCTCAAACTACTCTCTTGAGGAAACCCCCTTCCCAAATAACATCCACCCAATTGAATTCTTACGGCCTGGGATTTAAACAACCTCTTTATGATATTAATCAATAGTTCATCTTTAATTTTATCCTCAACAATTAAACATAACTTATCAACATGCTTAAAATCAAACAATTCAGGATCAAATGAAACAGTAAACCACCAACTGGGGTTCTCTACGGAGTTCTTTAGGTACCGAATGGCAGTGTGGCGGCCCATACCAACACGACCACCATAAGCAAACGTGGCTAATCGATCATCATATACAACCTCTAAAACCATTCTAATAGCTTCAATCACAACTTTGAGCTTCAAATTGGGAAGAACAAAAGACTCACCTTTCTTCCTCGGAGGCGGCGGCACCGAGACGCAACACGACTCCACATCAAACCGGTTTTTGCGGAGTTCATCTGCCAATTCTTGGATAGAGAAGAAATGGGTCGACACAGAAGAGAGAGTGAGTGACTCAAGCGAGTTGGGGGCATTGCTGTGAGGAGCGGTAGTAAGGTTCTGGCAGGCAGTGAGAAGAACGGAGGGTGAAGCGATGACGTTTTGTACGAGGTTATAGAACTTGCCTTGGCGGTATTGGGTGAAGATTAGAGCTTTGAGTTCTGGGTTGGTGAGTGGTTTGATAAGGGGGTTTGGGTCTAAGGTTGTGTCGTCTGGTGAAGAAGAGAGAGAAAGAGGGAGGGTTGAGAGAAGTCTGGTAGGAGGATAGAGAATCGGAACCCTAAGATGAAATGTGGCCAGTCGTCTGAGGTTTAAGAGCATCGAAACGAAGGGCCAAATTACAAATGCTGGGAACTGTTTGATGCTGAACGTTTCTGAACCCAATTTATCTTATTTGGGCGTGACACGCTCGCATTATTATATATGTACCTTAAAAAATTATATATATATATATATATATATATATAATATTTTTAACTCTTATTATTTTACTGAAAATGTCTATTAATATATTAATATTTATCATTAATAATCTAAAAGGTAGACCAATTTATTTATAAGCCCAATTTGATCCAGTTGGTTTTTATTTTATTTTTTTTAACTAAATAATATTTTTAAGATCAATTTGAGCAGGTTGAGCTTTGTTTTTTTTTTTTTATTAACTAAATAATAATAGTGGCATAACTTGTCTCAATCCGCCTCCATCCCACAAATAAATGAAATACGCGGTGCAAGGTTTGTATTTTGTTTGTCGAAATAGTCGATTATGGTGTATCATTTACAAAATTGCAGAACGGAATTGATATGACAAATTTTTTAATAGAGTGAAGTGGAATTTAGCCAAACTCGCCGGTTGCCATCCCACTATTGCTTGTTCCAATCATAATAATTATTTGTTGTACATAGATGTTTGTACTAGAAGATCTTGGTGGACTAGCTTCGTCAATATTGAATGTCCGAAACTCAAACTATTAAAAAATTGTTTTAAATTTATACTAATTCAAATTCGGGATAAATCTCTCTTTTTAAAAAAAAAAAAAAAAAAAAAAATTGAGTTCAAATTTTTGAATTCAAATTACTTAAAATCAAGAAAATTTGAATCAATCTTATTTCATTTCAAGCCTTAATCGGTAGTTTTACGCTATATATGTGCACTCCTCGCCCGTTGAGACTTGTATTTACCTATATTTATAAACTACTTATAAAAGTTTTAGGTTTTTTCTTATTTTTCTATAACTTTATATTTTTAAAAAATAAAAAAATAAAGTTTTTTTGGTCTTTCATTAAAAGTGTTTTTATTAATTGTGTTATTTTTTTTATCTATTATTAATGTGCAAAGATTCCAGTTGAGGCCTAAAACTTCATGATAATCCGGCCTGTTGCATTTTTAGTTCTTTTGTCCTAAATAGATAGTGTGGAGGGAAAAAAACTCCCTCCAATAAAAAACGCACACGTCACCACTACCCATATCTACAGGCCAAGGACATATAAGACCCATCATGCTCAAGCCCAAGTTGAGGGTATTTACAGCCCAAAACCATTCCATCAAGGCCGAATCAAGAAGCCATCAGCCCAGCTTGTCGTCAGCCCAGATATGAGTATTTAACATCCGGCCTGTTACCCAAGCCCAGCCGGATCAAAATATATTCAGCCCAAGAATGCACAAATCCTACCATTTGAAGAATTTATCGTAGAAGGAAAATTCGGATAGGAAGTTCTGTACAAGGCAAGTTCTATGTATGGAAAATTCAACAATGGAAAGAACTCTATTAGAAAAGAATGGTTATATAGAAAGAATTGGAGGGCAAGCAACGCGAGTCCTACCATAATTTTGCAATCTTTTGTATATAAATAGAGGCTAAGACCTCCAATAAAGGATCAAGCAATTCCACACTTCTCTACACATTGTTCTTATTTATTTTTATTGTTTTTGAGTGAGTTGTTTTATTTTTCTCAGTCATTATTGGTTGAGCGAAATTTTACACCTACACTTTGGCGCCGTCTGTGGGAACCGTATAGAAATATACTCCCACTTGTTCTTCAAATTAAATCCTTTAATCGTGTCTGAAATGTCAAACGGAGAGTCAGTAATGAATCAATAGATAGAATTGATGCAAAAGATGCGAGAAGAGTTCTTGCACCAATTTGAGACACTCCGGCAAGCAAACGATACGAGTGTCGCCCAGATAGCTGCGCTTCAGCAGCAGACTCATACGCTGCACACGGCCATGGCCAGGCTAACGCCACAACCACCACCAGGCGATGCTGCGGCACCACCTCCTACCCGGAATTTACCTCCGGTTCACGAGCCTCCAGCCAACGAGACACCACCCAACGGGGCTCGACCTAGTGAGGTTCAGCAAAAGCAAGGGACGAGATCCGAGGCGGTTGCTTTGGATAATCTCCCGCATCGCACTCAGGACGAACAGGCCGAGTCCAGCCGTAGGCTTACGGTATGGTCCAATGGCGTTCCGGATGGCGCACGTGTACAAGATGCCTTCGACGAAAAGAAGCTCTTGAGAGTCCAGACACCAGCCGAGATGGCTAGAGAGCACAAGAATTCCTTGGTCAAGACCCCCTTTACTGACGAGGTGTACCTTGTGGAGAGGCCGAAGAAGTTCACTATGCCATCCTTCACCCAGTTCGATGGGGCAGGAGACCCCTCTCGGCATCTTGATCATTATGCGCAAAAGATGGCACTGGACGATCATAACGATCCGTGGATGTGTAAGGTTTTTCCTACCAGTTTAACCGGAGCAGCGTTAGAATGGTTCAGGAATAGGCCACACAAGTCTATCCCTGACTATGAGACCTTGTGCACCATGTTCTTAGCCCAGTATTGCGGAAATAAGAAGAAGAAGAAAAGTATCGCCAGCCTTTTCACCATAAAGCAAAGGAAGGGAGAAACTTTGCAAGATTTTTTATCCAGGTTTAACATGGAGGCCTCGGAGATAGCAGATTGCCATCCTGCCACGGCAATCGAAACGTTTAAGTTGGCGATGATCCAGGGAACCAAGTTTCACACATCCTTAGTCAAATATTCCCCCCCGGATATGCAGACTTTGAACGCTAGGGCACAAATCTACATCCGGTTGGAGGAAAACGTAGCCCACCGTGCGCAGCACGCTACCCTCGTCACGGTGGAAAACAAGTCTCGAGAGAAAGCTGCGAGCACAAGGATGCAGAAGGTCCCTCATACCGCCACACAAGTCACCCAAGCGTCTGAGAAAAGGCGAAGGACAGAGGACAGGCTTACCCCTCTCCGTACTACCTTGGCGCGCCTATTACAAGAGAATAAAACGAGGTTCGCAACTCCTCAGCCCATGAAGCAACCCTTAGAGCAGAGGGACAAAAGCAAACATTGTGCCTACCATAGAGATTATGGGCATACCACCAATGACTGCAGGTCCCTACAGCGACAAGTAGAAAGCATGATAGCGAGAGGAGAATTGGTGGAGTATCTCGCCACAAAGGAGCACGTAAGACCTCGGGAGGTTAACCCTCGACGGGTAGAGAGTGGTCAGGTAAAGGTTATCCATGCTATACACGGAAGGTCAGAGGATGATGAAGAATCTGAAGAGTTGTACAGATCCAGGCTGCGAGAGGCTCATAAGTTACGCAGGTTGTCTTCGGTAAACACAGTTGCCCCAGGCAGCATCAACATTGGATTCGGTAACAATGACCTTTCTAGAGTCCAGCGCCCGCATGAGGACCCCTTGGTCATCAGCCTCCTGGTAGCGAATTACATGATCAGGAGAGTGCTGGTAGATCCGGGAAGTAGCGCCAACATCATTACAAAAACAGCTTTTGATCAGTTGGGGATTTCACCATCATCCATCAGGCCAACTTCCGGCCCCCTAATGGGATTTGATGGTACTAAGGTGAATCCGCTTGGGGTGGTCGATCTATCCGTTACTGCAGCAAAGAGAACTCTAAAGGAAAACTTCATCATGACAGAGATTCATCCATCTTATAACCTCATTATGGGAAGAGGTTGGATCCATCGTATGAATGGAGTCCCTTCTACACTTCATCAAGTAATGAGGTGTTTATCCCCGGATGGCAGGGAGGTCATCGACCTCTGGGGAGACCAGGTTGCTGCCAAAGAATGTTACATGCTAACGCTACACGAAGCAAAGAAAGCGTCGAAATCACCTCAGTCAGAGGCGAATCCCAAAGACGCAATCAAATAGCAGCTACAGTATCCTCTGCCCAAGTATCTCAAGGCAGAGGAAGAAGCCGAAGCTGAAGCACCTACCGAGGAGTCCCTCGAAGCTGTAGAGGTAGTCCTCGGAGACCCTCAAAAGATCACCTACATTGGCTCATCTTGCACCGCCGAAGAGAAGGAAGCATTGATCAGGGTTATTCGGTGCAATTCGGATGTCTTTGCCTGGGATCACTCAGATATGGTGGGGATCAATCCTACAGTCTCATGCCATAGTCTGAGGGTTAACCCAGAATTCAGGCCAGTCAAACAGAGGCACCGACGGTTCGCACCTGAACGCAATCGCATAATAGCCGAGGAAGTGAATAAACTGTTACAAGCAGGATTCATTCGAGAGGTGCAATACCCACAATGGCTCTCTAATGTAGTAGTCGTTCAAAAGAAGAATGGGAAATGGAGGGTGTGCGTAGATTATACCAACCTTAACAAAGCTTGCCCAAAAGATAGCTTTCCTCTGCCCAAGATTGATCAAATGGTGGATGCTACGACGGGTTATGAAAGGCTCACATTCCTCGACGCATACTCTGGCTATAATCAGATTCCCATGAATCCTGAAGATGAGGAGAAAACTGCTTTCATCACAGAAACGGGCACTTACTGCTACAGAGTGATGCCCTTCGGTCTAAAGAATGCCGGAGCCACCTACCAGCGACTTGTCAATAAAATTTTCAGTAATCTGCCGGGCAATACAGTTGAAGCCTGTATCAATGATATGGTGGTTAAAAGTATACGGAAAGAGGACCACCCGAAGCACCTCCAGGAGGTCTTTGATACTCTCAAGAGATACAATATGAAGCTGAACCCCACCAAGTGCTCCTTCGCCGTTTCGTCAGGACAGTTCCTTGGGCACGTCGTAAATAAAAGAGGAATAGAAGTAAGCCCAGCTCAGGCAAAGGCACTCATACAGAACCAGGAACCGAAAACTCGCAGGGAAATGCAAGTTCTAACCAGCCGAATTGCGGCTCTCAGCCGGTTCATATCCCGATTATCTGATAAGTATAAACCTTTCTTTGATGCTATTCGATCCAAAAATAAAGATATGTGGGGACCTCAGCAGCAGGAAGCTCTCAATCAATTGAAAAGTTACATGGCAAAACCCCCAATCCTTTCTGCTCCAACGCCCGGAGACACTCTCATCCTGTACC